TCAGCCAAATACGACTTTATATATATTTATCTGCGGCAAAGCTGCCTAATTTTAAATGCATAGAATTTTTTAAATATGTATAGTAAAATCTAAATACATGCATAACTACTGGCTACCCAGCCACAAATCGTATTCTTGTTTGGGTGCAGTCACACCATGCCCATCTCGTGTGACAAACCCCCTTGTTATCAGGGTACGTGTAACCCGTTACAAAAACCTAATTAAATGCATTACTACCGCCAGTCCTACCACGTAGTGGCTTTTTGTTACGATGTAGCCACACCATTGTGTGATAACACCAACTTGTATAATCCACGCCTATGTACAGTCACGCCATCTTGTGTGACCCGCCCTTTCATACAAGGTACGTGAAACCCCGTTACACTCTCCCTAATCAAAATTGTGAATATTCAAAATTCACATTTAACGGTTGCCTCGCGCGTCTGAGACACCGTTACGTCCTTACGAACATTCTCCGCTAAATGAGCCCTGTGTTTATGACACGCAAAACACCCAGCCTCGCATTTCCAAGGGTGCCCGCGGGAAAGTCCTTCTTCTCCTTCTGCACAGAGTCCATCTCCGGACAGTACGTCTGCGGCTCCACGGGAAGCACATCCCAAGCCGCCGGCATCCGAGCGCCACACACCGCGCCCGCCCCGGGCGACAAATCTCGTCGTCTATGATTTGGAGAAAGTCGACTACGAGTCGGACTCTCCTTTCTTAGCATGGGAAGATTAGGAGGATGAGGTGCGTTATTAGCGCGACGTTGTCCCTGCTCAAATCTTACAGACATCGTGTCCGTTCCCCGACCTCTCGACTTCGGGGTGAAGTTGTATTGTTACCAATGGCTTAGACGAGGCACAGGAGCAGCAGTTGGAGGCTGCCCACAGGGCGGCTCTCATGCGCTCGTATCCACGTTCAGTCCTAAAACCTCGTGTGGAATACGGCTTCCGCTCGGCGGATCTTGCTACTGAAGCGAAAGAGCGATCAGCCGATCGTTAGACGTTTACGTAGTCGGTCCCCCGGCCGCTACACAAGCTGAGCTTGACCAGCGAAAAGCTCAGCGAGCTCGCTTTTAAGTACCACAAGCGATCCCAATGGATTGGTACCGCGCTCGACTTCGAGCTCACAAAGGAGGTGTTCCTGTTCCCGCAATGTGGACCATCCCTGTGGGGCTCGCCCCTGGCAAAACCGCAGCAGATGGTGAGAAACGTTTTGAGCGATGGGTGCAGCGGCACCGGAAACTTTCTTAGCTGTCTTCCTTAAAGCGAAGCCACAAGGAAGTGGACGTGCGCGTTGAGCGCCATCTTAGATTCGAGTTTGCCAAACTCAAGGCGCAACGCCAACTTCCTACGTATTGTCGCCCTGCAACACATGGAGTCATCCATCACGCTCCCGCGAGCTCGAAGGTTTCTCACACTGGTGATTCTACGACCACCGCAGCTCAGGGTCATAGTTTGAGCTAAGCTCAAGGCCCTCTGACTTCCCGGGCTACTGTCGAAAAACGCGGGGCGCACGACGACGCGAAGCGTTATGATCCTTCTGATCATAAGCGTTCACGACGTCTGGGTAGTCTTGCCAAAGTGTCACCTCAAACTCCCACGAGTTCCCAAAGTTGGGTATTCCCGCCACTTCACAAGATATTGGGTTCAACCCTGTCGACGACGTCGACCCACAAGGTGTTCCTTGTGATAGTGGACGCCCCCATTCTCAGCGAGAAGAGTCGGCGGCAGACGATGACGACTTGGTCGATCGCAGCCCAGTGAAACGCGATGCTCTTCGAGCTTTTGAGGAAAAGGCCGTCGTCATCGGCACTTAGCCGAGCATCTTGCCGAGGTCGCATACCACTGTGCAAAAGATATCGAGAGCTTGGAGCACTTCGTGCACCGATTCCGTCCCGTTGAGGACTATCTCGCTCTGTCGAAGCGACTCCAGATTCGAGTAGACGAATACGTCACTTCGTACTAAGGTGGAGCGCCTTGCGCCGTTGGGAACAAAAGTTGTTGCACTCCGTAGTTGCTAGTTCAGCTTCTGGGTGGCCGAGCGCCTTTGGGTGCCAGATCCCAATAGTGCTAAAGCAAACCTACATAAAACACCGGGTGGGTGTGCATCTTTCTTGGAGGGCACAGCGTATACGCAAGGCCTCGCTTGGCCACGACCTTAGAAGGTCCAGTTAACCGTGGATTGAGCTTTGTCTTAAAGACAGCAGAGACTGCATTGTGTGGGAAGGCTTTTAGCATTTCATATAACCAGGTCTCCGACCTCAAAGTTTTCTACATTTCTTCTGCTTCTTCGATCTGCATATTCTTTCTGCATGTCTTGGATCTAAGCCATCGCATCACGAACGTGTCGTAAGACACCCAAATTGGTAGACAGGAAGTCTTCGAGTCTTTTACACATGGTGGGGGGGGCTGGCATCAGATAGCCGTCTGTCTATTCCTCCCCACCAAACTCCGGGACCGTGGGATGGCGGGACGCAAGGATAAACAAGCTCGTTCCTGTAGAACGGCGTGTAGCCGGTAGATGAATGCACAGCATTGTTCAGAGCGAACTCTACGAGTGGAAATATAGCGCTCCAGCGCTTCGGCGTCTCAGTGCAGACGCTGTGAAGAACATCTTTAACGACGCGATTCACGCACTCAGTCTGACTATTGGTCTACGGATGGTCCGCTGTTGACACAGTCAACTTGGTG